ACCCCAGTCAAAGGTCATGACTGACCAATAAAATATTTCCAGAGCGCCATCAATAACTCCGACATGCAGACTAATACAGTATGGGATTGTGGGTAGGGGGAGGACTCCGGCTGCGTTTGCTTTAAGCAGAATGGATGCACGAGAGGCCAAAAGGTTACTGGACAGACTTCAGCCCCCTGCCCCTGCAGCCTCTCATATGAGCGTTTGATAGCGACAGGCACAATTATAAAGGTATACTTCAGACAGGTCAAATGGGAAAGGGCAAAGTGCAGAACCTTTAAAGCACTGGCTGGAGTCAAAGGTTAGGACGGACATAGGACATCATAGAGTGCTGCCGGGCAATGGGTAATGGAATCACAGCTGTAAAGAAACAAATGAGAGGGAGGAAAAAAAGGATCATATCTTGTCTTTGTTTGTGTGATATTTTTGACAGAGAAAATTAAAAGAGGTTGTCGTGTTCAGAATCTGAAATTGTGGCATTTAATGCTGTTTGGCCCGACTAAAGTAACTATGTGTTTGTGTGGTGTGTGTGTACTAATATACTGTATATTATCCGACGAACCATCAGCTTCATGGCCATTAAATATGAATAGCCCAAGGTCAGGGAAGGTTGCAGCATGCATTTAGCACCAGTGACCAATGCCAAATGTAAAGGTCAAAGTGGAATAGCCTGAGTCGGAGCAATACGGCGTTTGCTCATCCACATTTATGCATCCCATCGGCAGTGATTTATGGTCGGAGATAAGCGTGCGGATGGGAAGAAAACACTCTCTTTCTCCTATCCCGTCAGACTCAGTAAATATACTACTCACTTATATCAATCACCATGTCACAGTGAATCGCCACTGTATGCTTCCCGCTCAGATTAAAAACTGCCTTTGTCTTGCTCTGCCTTCTCCCCCCCAGCTCTGGGGAACACACTGGCGGTATTGTTGCTATTTCACAAGCTTTATATTAGCATTTCAAACAGCTGTGGTACAAAAGTGGTGAGTATATTCAAAGTCAGCAGAATTCTTTAGTTATGCGCCATAGATACATTCCATACCATATCAATCATGCACTGTGGAAGTAAGGTCCTCAATTGATCTAGAAAATACTGAGGAAAAAATGGAATGGAAAAAATCTCTTATGTGACAAAAAGCTTTTTTTAAAATATAATGTTACCTCACTTCCATTTATTTTGATGGTTTGCAGTTGATTTATTTGCCTTTAACAGGTTTCCATGAGCCTGGTTTGCATGAGAAAATAATAAAAGAAGTTAAACCTCTGTGCTGTTAGTCACATCAGAATTCCACAACATTTAAAAGAGCTCAGATTGAAGCAGGTTTTATGCTTATGAAACAAATCACTGTCGATTAGGATCAATTTACCCTCCTCTGTCCTCCGCAGGACAAAATTCCTGTGCTGCAGCCAGCCTGGCTGTTCAGCATTTTGCAGCAGCAACCGCTGCTCTGGGGGGACTTGGCCGGGGCCAGCGATTAACTCGATATCCCGGCTTTTTGAATCGCGTAGGCCTCTTGAACACGAACATGTTCCCCACGTCCCTTTGGCTCCTTTAAATGTGAAAACCAGCCCGTCACTGGTGCACCACAGCCTTCGCGAACTACCCCCAAGTGGTTCAGAATCCAGCCAGAGAAAAGTCCAAAAAGAAAACATGCTTTTGAACTAGCGGCCAAAGCGGAAACATGGTCTAGTAAGCTGCTTTTTAACCTGAACCATAAAGAAGTATTTTCCTTTCCTCCAATAGTAATAAATTTACTCTTTTCCTTTATTACACATGTTATGTTTTTCCATGGTTAGATCAAAGAGTGATAATGCTCCACACCATATAGGCACCAGTGTAAATTACCTGACACTTTATGTTTAGTTCTCCATTAGTCTGCATTTCAGCTTGCACGCAACTTCAATATAACAGAGACCTCTTTAACACAAGAAAAACGGCAGTAGCCAAAGTATAGAGTGTTTCTCCTCTGGAAATCGCATCGGTTTCAATGCATCAACTGCAGAGGTCAGCTCTCAGGATTGGATTCTTACCGCTTTAATACCGCCAATGACATTTTCCTGTACGCACCAGCCGTTACACCGTCTATTCTTCCCTCCCTGTGAGAGCAACAGTTCTAAAGGCTGTTTATACACAGGACAAGTTCTGTATGATCTGTCACATTCATCTCTATTTCCCATTCACCATGGGGCATTTGAACCACATTAGAATCTATTACCACCATGCAGATTCAGCCCCCGCTGACAATACAAATCATGATAAGATGGAGCGGTGACTCCATAAACACCCTCGCTTATATATCACATCATATGAGCTGGGCTGGATAGCAGATCCTACTTGTCATCCCTATGTGATCGTCTATTTATATGGATGGACTAAAGGTGCGGATATCATTACATCTCTGTCTTTCTTTAACCTGTGTCTGTTACTGTCCCATTCAGACAATAGATGTAAATAGTGTGCGTGTGTGCGCGTTTATCTGCGGGAGCATCCATCACTCAGCAGTAGGAGTTCCAACTCAGCTGCTTGTGAGAAGAGATTTATGCTGTAATGCATCAAATCAACAGACCTTTACAGTAAAATATGATTTTATCAATAGGCCTGATCAATAGTGCATGCAAGACGCTGTGTAATTATTATAGAGGTCCGGATCAATAAAACTGTCACGCATGACCTCCTGCCAAAGGCCGCGAGTCACAGACAGTCAAAGAAAAGGTTTGTGTCGTGGCCCCGAGATGTTTGATTACCTGTACATAAGGTCATATCTCTCAACTACCGTAACTTATCACCACACGCTCGGCTGAGACCAGATTCAGGAAAGGAAAGTTTTAACCGCACTAACCGCCGCATAGCCGACACCTTTAAAACCATATTTTTATACGGTGTGTTTTACTGACCAATTAATAGCGGCAGGTCTGTTTAAAAAACAGCCATCGTCAGTGAATCGAGTTTCCCCGCACCTCTGCCGACATTAGAGATTATAAATGATGGAGACACAGATGACTGTCTTTACTGGAGTGAGGATCATTTGTCCTGAAGCAAAGCAATGTAAGAGTGGAAGAAAGACTGTCGAAAAGAGCTTTGTGTTACACTGTGGTGGAAGCACTCTGCATTAACACACACGCACGCTCACACACACACACACACATACACAGACACACACACATACAGTACACCAGAGAGGGAGCGTGAGGCAGGGACCAATGAGGCAGTTTATATCGGGATTTTGTTTCACAGCCGTGGCCTCCTGGGAGAGTGGGGTCTGCCAATAACACTTAAGAGACAGAGCAGGAAAAGTAAGTGCTTTTATTACATCTCATCACTCATGTAATTTCTGGCAGCATTTGTGATTACAGATCAAGTGATTGACTAACTACACATTCGGCGGCTGAGTTATGAACCGGGTGCCTACCATTCCAGCCCCGGCAGATTCTCCGTGTCAGCTGTAACTCATCCCTTCCCAGGGTGCTAAATCAAAGAGCACACTGAGGCCGGAAGAGTTAAATAATAACTTGAGCTTTATTGTAAATCTGTCAGAAATTACACCTGCACACACGGTGCCTCGGCCCGGGTGTTGTACTGCATGGGGTGAAGAGGCTGAATGGAGGGGATCAATAGAGGCCCCGATGGAGGTATTGATGGATGACAGATGAAGTTGGCGTCTGTGCGTGTGTTTGTTATGGGTGTGTATATGTGTGTGTTTGGGGTGGGAACCACCCTGGGGTTAGGTGGAGAGCACGGCTCAGGGTGTTTAATCGACAGACCTCACCTTGAATCGATTGGCAGGAATCTCGCAGGGCAGATACGTGATACACGGCCGACGCTTACACACACACACCAAAAACAAACCGCCGGGAGTTTAAGAGATGATGAGGAGGGATGGGCAGATGTCTCAATGCCATCAGTGCTTCATGTCTGTTTGGAGTCAGTGTTTGGTTAGTTACTCACTAAAGCAATTCACAGGCTCTGTTAATATTTTGTGGATTCGTTTCCTGGAGTAGGAATAAGATTTGCTTTTAAATACCTAACATTAGTATTCTTTTTCATGACTTAAAAAACAGGGATCAAGGTAATGAATAGTTTTGATGTGTTCTTTACTCAAATGACATGACGACTCTAATACAAAATGCAAAATAGGTGCTACATATACAGCCAATATTTCAGCATAACCTTTCATTGAGAACTATTCACAATTATTTGTAAATGATCATATAAAACGATTAAATATTAATATTTATTTAGTTTTTTGTTATTATTATTATTATTACTGTCATCATTAGTAGTAGTATTGATATGAAATATTTCCACTCGCTATGCCAAGATTTACAGTTTAGAAGTGCAGACCATGAATGAACAATCGTCACATGCAAGGTTCTTTTATGCTCAACCTTTAGGTATGTATGCGGAAACGGACATGCAGTTTTGTCAATACTGTGCATTAATTCAACTGTAATTTTGCACATCTTCTGAAAGCTTACGGATATGGATGACATGGATGAAACGGAGCAGTACTGCTGGAAATGAACAAAGACAAAATTTCAGCTATGGCAGAACTTTCTGGGGAGACTTTGCATGTTGGTAAGAAATTCAGCTATCTATATGATTTACAACATGGCTAATTTTGCCTTTTGCCTCAAACACTAATAGCCTTTAAACAGGCAGATCTCTTTTCGTGCATAAAGGTACCATTACTGAGCTTTTAAGTAAAACTCTGACAAGAGGAATTACCATATGGTTGTGCTTGACACTGTGTCAAAGAACCAGTTTAAAATAGAGAATACGTCTAATGAAGGACTTTTATCTAAGAAACTTGAAAACAAAACATAGCAAAGACAACAGGAGTGATCCTGTTTACGTAGAGAAACCTCATCATATTGTGTTATCTCTCTAAAGACACTCTAAAGAGCCATAGTAGTAAGCACGTGTGACTCATACTGCAGAGATGGGCAGCCATGAAAACACTCCAGCGTGAAATGTCTTACAAGAAGCCAAGATCTGAGAGGGCGTTATGTCTTTAATAAACAACATACTGTAAGTATTAAAATCAATGTGGCTTGCTAGTATTCATGGTGGAAAAAAACAACTCAACCCTCTCAAGTTCTGTTAAAATGTTCAAGGACTCTGAAACTCCTGCACGCAGCTTTCACTGCAAAGACCAAAGCCTAATGCTTTGAGATGAGGTCAAGGTTCATGAGAGTCATTGACTGAGATGGTTTGAAAGAAGAGCACATTTGCCAAATCACAGTTTGGGGTAAAGTGGAGCCCTTTAATACTGATCTGAAGTCAGTTTTGGAGAAATCATGCGGAGCAAATGAAGCTGTTTCCCCGTCATCTTGGAGCCAAAAGTATTTAGCTTTGTATGTGGCCTCTAGAAAAGCATTATCAAGTAGATAATAGAGTGCACATTCTCTCTCTCATAGCCGGGGCTGTGTATTATCCAGGGGGTTATACAATAAACATATTTTGATTTCAAGTAGCTCACATAACCTGACATAAAAGGGTAAATACACATGTTTAAAACATTAAAGCATGAAATAAATATTCTCGGCTCCACTGGTGGACAGAACTGGGTCTGTTGGTTTTTTATAGTTTCTTCCAAGGAGCGCCAGGGGAGGAAACCGCTCTCCTGTGTGTTGGACAGTACCTGGTCGCTTCAGAAGAAGAACGAGTAGGAGAAAGAGAGGCTTCGGCTTGTGGTCTCTGGTGGAAGGAGGGGGACGTCTGAATCTGTTGTCCAGGGGTCAGACAGGGAGAAGAATTGTAAATCGGAGACTCCAGGCCAGTGTGTAGTCTTGTTGTTGAGTGGTGACAGGAGGCCACTCTCTGAGCCCCAGGACCTGAACATCTCCCAGGAGGTCTGGGTTTTAGTCTCAGCTTGGGACTCTGCAAAATGCTGCTATCACTTCCAGATTTTTGGAGCAGTTCAGTCAAATGTGTAGATCTCTCCTGGAAAGACAAACACATGTGAAAACAAAAAGAATACAGTGAAAATAGCCTATTTTATACTCAGTACCAACTTCTGAGATGCTGGGTAAATGACTTGATGCTATAATATAATGTACACTTTCTTCTTTAAACTCAGCCAAAGCAATTCAACACAGCCTCTCAGTTCAAATCCACTTACTGTTGCTATCTCACACAATCACATAAAGTAGAACAAATAAAGGGTTGAGGGCCAGCAGCCCTGAGATGTTGCCAGCTCATCCTGATAAACGTAAAAATAATGTTTGGATCATACTCACTGAGACAAAAGAGGTAAAGTAAAAGAAATCAAATTTGATACGTGCAAACCGGTTTGTTTGTCATTTGAGACATATGTACCCTCCCATGCATCTACCCTCTGGCTACAAGGCGTTGTTTTCATTTTTATTCAAATTCTATTAACATTGAACTTATCACATGTCCAAATCAAACCACATTTGACACTGCATTTCCTTGATGCACATGTCAAGTGTGAAGTCGATAAGATGAACAGTTCCACATAGACCGACAGACACAAAGAGATTTGTGGAATTAGTTGATAGATAATCCCAGTAACACTCACTTTTTGAGCCTCGGCTAAAACTCTGCTTTGAGCTTGTTGTTTGGTCAGCAGCCTCGGCAAGGAGCTGGCTATTGGCCTGCATTGTTCTCCTGCTGTCTTCGGTAAAAGATGCAAAGTGGTGAAGACTGTTTCTCTGCTTGTTCTGCTTCTGCGTGGTTCTTTCCTCAGCTCCAGCGGCCCCTCTGTTCTGCAACCCTCCCTCTCTGTCCCCTGGTCGGATTTGATTGATGAGCGGCCATTTCCTCTCCTGTCTATCCCTGTTGCAGACCTGGCTCCAGCGAATGCTGAATCAGGTAACGCTCCATTGCCTTCATCATGGTTTGGTTTTTTTCCGCGTTCTTCATCTTTCTCCTCTTCCTCGGGATCTTGTGGTCTCTGCAGAACCTGAATCCTGTGCTTAAAGTCCTGTCAGAAAGAAACACAATATCCGTTCAGGTTATTCCTATTGTGTCACATGTATCTGAAAAGCAGAAATTTCACTTAAAAGTAATTTAAAATTTGATCTATTACTTTAGAAATGTAAGCGCCACCTTTGTTGCCGTCATACCAGCAGTTTCATGGAGGTCACAGGTCACACCTTTCTCTCATCGTATTCAGTGGAAATACAGGCTCAGAGCGTGTTAGCTTTAAAAATCACTTTTGGTAACCAGAGGTTTTTAGTAAAAGTTTTGTAACATCTATTGCACTTCTGTCTGTCCTCTGAGAAGGATCTGACAGTTCAGACTCGCTCTGAGGTTTCTGTGTGTTTCCTGTTTAAAGGGATTTTTGTAGAGTCTAGTTGAGAGTAAAGGGAAGAGTTTCATTTTCTATCTCCACATACAAAAACAGAAGATCACAAGTAATATGGCAAGTAACGTAATTAATAACTTTTACCGTTGAGTAAGTAATGTGATTACTTTACATTGATCAAACCAAACATGCTAGACTCAACATGTGTCTGTAAAAAGGAAAGTATAAAAAGTTAATCCACTCCTAAAACTGGGACTTAAATATGGTCTGTCTGGTTTATGTGTATGCACAGCAGTCATATTGCATGAATGTGTGTGTATACTTGTGTGTGGAGATGAGGGAATTGCCCTGGTAAAAGTTGCCTTCACCAATGCACAGTATAATTCTAATTGGCTTTATTAGGGGGCTTAGATCTAATACCAGCTCCGTGCACTGCCTTAGGCTCTGTGGGTGTGTTTGTGTGTGTTTGTGTGTGTTTGTGTGTGTGTGTGTGTACCTCTGTTTGATGTTTACGACTTACCAGATCTCTCATAGAATGTTCTCTATGTAACAGACATGAGTGGATGGACTAACACAGCTCTACCACAGCAATAAAACTGAAATCCCTCCTCAGCCTGGTGTAGCATGTTTCTCCCGTCTGAGAGCAGAGGCCCCAGTCAATACGCACAGACAGCATTTAGAGGTTCAAGTCCAATGAAGCGGCGGCAGCGCAGCGCCAGATGTAATGAAACCGACTTAAGGCGAGAGGAAAGCTGCATGAAACTGCACCGCAACATTTGACCCCATTTAAAAACTTGATACCAATTAGAGAGTTCTCGGTGTAAATTATTTAAGAAATCTCTCTCACTCTCTCTCTGAACACACACAAATAATTTTTACGGGCATGCATGCATGTATGCATGGACGTGCACGTGCATCAACACAGTCTTACACATGAACCGATGAAGATATACACACACTCCTGTGCACTGACACACACTCATACACACACAAATTCCACCCTGCTCTGGAAACAGACTTCTTAATGAAGCCTTCCCCAAGTGAAAGTAGAGCAGAAATATATACTGGCCCATTTCTGCCTTCAGTTCACCCTCCTCTCCTTACGCACTCTCTCCCTCTCTCTCTCTGTCTCCCCCACCCTCACCTTCTCCACATCATTTGTTTTATTCATGTTTCGTTGTCTTTCTCTTTTGTCTCAATGAGTTAAATCACAACCCCTAATTTATGGCTACAGGCAAAGACACTTCTCCAAACAAAGCGGCTGATGAGAGGGGATGACTGAAAACATACAGCACGCGGCGAGCGGTGTGTGTAAATCTTAAAATGTCTGTAACTGTCTTTTTTTGGTCTGTGGTTATTTACATAAGGAATGAAAATGTGTGTAAAAGAATGGCTGTGAGAGAGAGAGGCAGAAAGAGGGAGAAAGAGGGGGGAAAGAGGCAGGGAGGTAAATCCAGTGACACTGAGTGGGGAGCACTCAGGTGTGGTGAGAGGATTATACAAAACCCTGAGTATGAATGACAGTAAACACCTGAATGACAGAGATGGGGAGGGGCGGGAGCTTAGGTGTGTGAGTGTGTGTGAGAGTGTGTGTGGTGTGTGTGTGTGTGTGTGTGTGTGTGTGTCCGTGCGTGTGTGTGTCCGTGCGTGTGTGTGTGTTCGTGTGGTTCTGGGTGACAATTTACTAGTCGTCACTGATATTCTGAGAGGTGAGTGAATATATTCACTACTTTGTGTTTTGAGCGCTGTGCTGTTTACTCAAGTGCAACTTGTTATGTTGTGTCCCTCATTACTGCATGCATAAAGAAACAGAAAAATGAATGGAAGTGGGTTTGAGAAGCAAGCAGTGGATGCGTGGCGGAAGGGGAATATCAACAAGGCAGACAGGAAGTGCAGAAGAGGAAGATATCAATCGGGAGCAATCCACTGCTGTTGAGTTAGCGAGTGAGTTACAGATCGAGCTGTACAGTTTGTGAGCGAGTCAATAAAAGGGCCATAGAGCAAGAGAGAGGAGGTGTGTTTATCTTACTTGCGCTGTGTTTTCTTTCTCTGCGTGCTCCGTCGGTGTGGGATTCCTGTCAACGTCTCTGAAGAGAGCTTCACGTTGTGGGTGATCGCATCCTCTGTTCCTCTCCCCGCTCCCTGAAAACACAAATGCACCTCTCAGCATATCCAATCAACACTTTAATGTCTTTTTTTTTTTTTTTTATCAAACCAGATACACATCGTTCTCTATTTTATAACATTTAGGTTTAAACTGGAGGCAGGTCAAAATATCTTCTGCTGCATTGTCAATGCCACCCAGCTGAGAACTTGGACTTGGACGAAGGCGCTATTTTTTCTTGCGAGCTATTAGTCGGAGTGCTCGCACATTTCACCCCGCTCTTGTGGAATACTCAAATATGTCTTTAACCTTTGGCTTAAGGTTAAATTCAGAGGCGAGCAATACATGTCGATTCCTAGATCTGCTCTGAGTGAAATCCCTCACCTCTCGAGCTATATCGCTGTACAGTGCTGACTCTACATGAAGCGTGACCCCGTTTCCCCCACGGCGACCCCCTCCTTCTCTTTCGCAGCCTTGGAAGATAGAGGAGCACAGGGGAGAGGCATGCCAAGGCAGTAGACACTTTTAAGCAAAGATTAAAGGTTTTTCTTTTTAATCAGTCATTTGGCAGCGATGTTAGCATTTCACCCTGGTGCGGCTAAGGATCAATTTTTAATGCTGCTGTGCAGAGAGCAGACAGGGTGATTGGCAAGAGAGAAGCTATTTACAAAGGATCTATTTACAAATTTTCCATAGAAATATGCAGAGGGCACAATTGACATCTCTTACAGAATTTTAAATGAGCATCCTCCCTTTTTTTCCCTCTTCGTCACGAGGCACGACCTCTGTGAGCCCCAGATGATCGCTGCTCTGTGAGTGTGTGAGTTTTGTGTGTGTTCCCTCACATGTAAGAATAATAACAGAATCTATACCTCTCCCTTGTGTTACATTGTGTTGCCTTTCTCTGCGTGTTGTGCTGCCAGGGGCTGGGTAACTAGGTCAATCAACCCCGGTGTAAACACATCACAGGAATCCACCAAGAACATGCTAATGACAATGACTCTTTTTTAATTTATGTCTGTACTTCCAGAGTAAAACTTTATATATATATACACAGTGTAACTCCTTGAGGGATGTCAACCTAAGCCTGTGTATATCTAAGGAAAAATAACAGGTAGTAGGTTGCTAGCTACCATACATGCTGCATGTGCTTGGTGCTGCATGGCTTCCTTAGAAAAAGTCACAGGCAGGTAATAAAAAGTAGGATTGTTGAATTGAAATGAAGTTGTGTGAAGATTTGTTTTTCTGAGTATTACTGTGAATTTCAGTGTAGCTGTTGTGATGTCTCAAACAAGTGCATTAACGGAAAACACAAGAGCGACAATGGATGTTGACAATGAATTGAGCAGATTTTGCAGTGAAGTTGTGGATGTATGGGTCAGGTGAACAGTCATTTAAAACCTGAACAAACCAGTTGCTGCTTAAAATGTGACTCTTGTCAACTCATTGTTAGTTGTTGCTAACTTCTATTGCTATTGTGTTTCCGATGTGTGGTTTTGTAGTAAGTTTTCACTTTTTCATTGGTGTTTTGGCTTTTGCTTTTGTGTTTTCTGTTAATAGGCTTCTGTGAGACATCTCGGCCACCGTAGATCTTTGAGACGTGTACAAGCCAGAACAGGAAGGACACTGACAATTGAAATCTACAGACTCACACACAAGTTCATGTTTATTCAGCCCTGACTCTACTGTCCCAACACGTCTTTCAATCCATGAATCAATCCATACATCCATCCATCCATTATCCAACCGTCCATTCATCCATTATCCAGCCATCCATTCATTCATGCATTCAACTGGCCTTCCAGCTGACCAACCCACACACCATTGATTCAGTGATTGACCCTGCACTGGCTGGATCGATACTCTCTTAAATGGCATCATTGTAAGCTCTTAGGCACAATGGCCGGCCGTTGTTTGTGCAATTCATTTCTAAGGAAGCAAGGCCGCGCAGGGTTCTAACCCAGATCAACTCTCCTTTCTCCTCCGCTTACATGATCACAGCAAATTGAGAGAGGGGGGCACCGGAAAAAAAGGTATTGAACAACTAGCATCCTGTGTACATGCAACAAAGGGGGCAGCGGTCCGTGAACTACCGGTAATGACTGACCATTAGATACTTTGGATAAAGATGTCTGCAATACAGCAGGTTTACAGACACATGACACTGTTCCAAAGATGGACGACAAGATTTATAGATTACATGTGTGATGGTGCAGATCAACACAACCAGATCCACTATAATAAAAATAGGCAAGAATATTAACCTGGAGGAGCAGCAGTATTCAGTAAACTCATGTTCAGTATATCACTGTGCAGTCTATTGTGGCTCGGTGTGCATACAGAAACCCTGTTGGGTTAGAGCCGGGGCTGGGTCTTGGCATTAAATGACTGGGACTCTGACAAGTCTCCGAGTTCTGTCACGGCGGTTCACAGGTCTTGTTAGCCAAGGTGTCGGCAGGGGTGGAAATGACTGTGTGCGAGTGTGTGTATACGTGTGTGTG